TGTACATTGTATTTACATATGCCCTTACACTGTAACTACATTGTAAATATTTTGTAGTTACATCCAAGATAATATTCACTTTTGTAAATGTTTATTTGTATATTGCATGTACAGTATTTGTGTATAGTTATTTACATAAATATACTCAATACATGTAATGTAATTAGTATTACAAACTATTATCTTGAACATATTAACATTGTTATTACATTGTACATCCCAGATAATATTTATTAATGTGTTTCTTTGTACATTTTATGTATAGTGTGTATTTATAGTTAATACTTAAATGTACACAGTACACATGTATGTAATTACAAACTTTTTTCTTGGATGTAATTACTATGTCATTACATTGTAACTACTCTGTAGTTACATTGTAATTACGCTGTAGTTACATCCAAGATAATATATATAGTATCCCCAGGTGGAAATGGAGAATAATTACGCTGTAGTTACATCCAAGAATATATATATATATATATATATATATATATATATATATATATATATATATATATATATATATATGTGTGTGTAAATGTTTCTTTGTATATTGCATGTGCAGTATTTGGTTATTTATAGTTGCATACATATACACAGTACACATGCAATATGTAATTACAAACTTTTATTTTGCAAGTATTTACTGTGTCGTCACATTGTAATTACTATGTCATTACATAGCTATTACAATGTAGTTACACCCAATATATTCTTTATAAACTTAAACGTATAGGTTATTTGTATATTTCATGTGCAGTATTTGTATATTTATACCTAAGTATATGCATATGTAATTACAAACTTTTATTTTGGAAGTAATGACATTGTAATTACATTGTTATAACATTTTATTTACATCTAATAGTATTGTAAATGTGTTTTTGTATTATTCATGAACAGTATTTGTAAATCATAGTTATATACATAAATATACACGGTACACATGTAATACGTAATTATAAACTTTTATCTTGGATGTAATTACTATGTCATCCATGACAGTATTTATAAAAGTATTTTTTTTTGTATATGGCGTACAGTATTTGGTTATTTATAGTTGCATGCGTAAATATACACAGTACACATGTAATTACACTTTTATCCTTTGTGCAATTATTGTGCCGTTACATTGTAATTACTATGTTACTAAATTTGTAATTACATTGTTATTACATTGTAAGTACATCCAAGATATTTATAAACATGCTTTTTTGTATAGTTCAAGTACAGTATTTGTGTATTTATATGAAAATACACAGTACATATGTATTTTCAATTTTTTATTTTGAATGTAATTACTATGTCATCATATTATATTAACTATGTAATAACATTGCAATTACATTATTACAACATTGTAACTACATCTTTAAAAATATTGTGAATGTGTTTTTGTATGTTCATGTACAGTACAGTATTTAACATTTTTATTTTCAATATTTTTTGTCCAGTTTCTGACTTTTCAGTTTAATCTGATCTAAGAATATAAATGGAAATACTCGGCATGTCATTACATTGTTATAACATTTACATTTAGTCATTTAGCAGACGCTTTTATCCAAAGCCACTTACAATATTGCAATTGCATCTGAGATGTAATATGTAATTACAAACTTTTATCTTGTGTGCAATTACGTTGTGGTTACATTGTGATTACTATGTCATTACATTGTAATTACATTGTAGTTACATCCAAGATATTATTTATAAATGTAAATATTTCTTTGTATATTGCATGTACAGTATTTGGTTATTTATAGTTGTATACGCAAATATACACAGTACACATGTAATTACAAACTTAATTGCCATGTCATATGGGGTTGGGAATCGTTTGGAGTAATTTCGATACCGGTGCTAAATCGATACTTTTAAAAATGGTACTGGTGCCAAAACGGTGCCTGAACCGATACTTTTGAGCCACAAAATTATGGGGGCTGACTCTAGAAACATCTTTTATTTGAAGAATCTTTAAAAAAAAAATTTTTAAGTTTAAAGTAAACATTAATTCATATTTTATATATTAAATTACATTAATACATTTAAATATTAAATTACATTAGCCTTCTACTAACCTGTGGAAAGGCTGTCAACAAAATGCTGATCTTTTTTCTAGGGGTTGGGGCTTGTGACTATGTTTACATGGTTATCAGTAATCTAATCATTTGCTTTAATCTGAAGAGACAATAATATGATCAAGGTGTTTACACTAGTTGCTTTTTGAATGTGCCTTTCATGATCCCGTCTTACATGTTATAGCACATAGATCAAGACATAGATCGATTAACGTCATTGTGTCACCACACTATCCATGTTTCCACCAGAGTTTCATGCAATTTCAGGTGTTTCATATTTAATTTTTCGACTTTAACTGCTGTTTCACTTTCATTTCATGAGGTATTTGATGCGAGCATTAAGTAAGGACTGGTGGAAGAGTGCTCTTTTAATGGAATTTGATACCGCACGTTGAATGGAAAGATGCAGGTGTCTGTGGTCATTTAAGGTAATCAAAAATCACTGTTTACATGGTAGTCTAGACTCTTAATGAGAGTATTGTCTTAATCATGTTAATATCGGAGCATTGGTGTCCATGTACGTACTCATTGAAAGTGCCAGATGATGTTGCAAGCTTTAGAGACAGTGCATTCTTCTTCCTGTAAGTTGATTCCATGAGCCCTCAAATGTGTCATTATGTCTGATGAGCTTTCCCATACACACAACTTTTGTAAAGCATTTGCTTCACGTTGCTGTGTCAGAATTCTTGCTTGTAAAATACGCTTTAGAACGCTTAGTTTAAGCAAATTTGATGAACGCGATCATTCGTGTTGATCTGAAGAGAGTCGCTCTCACTCACCGAATGCGCTGTACTGTGTGCGTTTCATGCGTCTGTTCCCTAAGCAACAGGAACAAACGCATGACATCACCTGTCCATATTCCTCAAAATTGTTTAGAATTAAATGTTTAGAGATGGTGTGACAATGCGTACATATGTGTGTCTTTGATGCACCCCTTGATGCTTCTTACGCCCTTGTCGCAGCACCAGTGCCACCGAAATTAGGCACCAAAATTTATATGCTGATTCGGTCCGGTACATACTGGTTACAAAGGTACTGGTGCTATAATGGCACCAGGTTTCAGTACCCAACCCTAATGTTATATATACCCATAACATTGTAATTACATTGCTATTACATTGTAGTTACATCCAATATGTAATATTTATAAACCTAAATGTTTCTTTGTATATTTCATGTACTGTATTTGTGTATTTATACATAAATATAGGCAGTACATATGTAATTACAAACTTTATTTTGGATGTAGTTACTATGTCATTACATTATAATTACTATGTAATAACTTTGTAATTACATAATTATAACATCATAAATACATCTATGAAAGTATTGTAAATGTGTTTTGTAAACATTTTTTTTAACAACCTTTTTTTCAGTTTGACCTGATCTAAAAATATAAATGAAAATTTTAACTAATTAATCCTGCTACACTCTGGCTAAAAAATTCATTCATTCATTTTTTTCCAGCTTAGTTCCTTTATTAATCTGGGGTCGCCACAGCGGAATGAACCACAAATCTATCCAGCATTGTTTGACGCAGCGGATGCCCTTCCAACTGCAAACCATCTATGGGAAACATCCGTACACTCTCATTCACATACATATACTACAGACAATTTCGCTTACCCAATTCCCCTGTAGTGCATGTCTTTGGACTTCTGGGGGAAACCGGAGCACCCGGAGGAAACCCGCGCAAACACAAGGAGAACATGCAAACTCCACACAGAAACAATTGCGGTGAGGCGATTGTGCTACCCACTGTGCCACCGTGCTGCTCTCTGGCTATGAAACTATAGACCATAATAAGAAACAGCATGGTAAGTATAAGAATCCTAAGAATCCAAAACATAATGACAAACATATTTGCTGTTATAGTTCAGGAATTTCTGTGGTTTGCACAACAAGTTCTTGTGGGTTTGTAAGCAAGGCCAAAGAGATAACTTGATGGGTTGTATTTTTGCTCTCTCTATTTGAATACAGAGGTAAATATAGAGCTTCATTCTGTCTGTGTATAGTATATACAAAGGTCAGGTTTAGTACAATTATTCACAACAGCATATTATACAAAACAAACAAAACCGGATCTAATCTAATAAAAGTTTTTGTAGTTTTTGATTATTAAAGACTTTTAACTTTTTTGTAAAATTGTTTCATTTCTGATCAAAGTTTTATTGTAAAGCAACATTGTTGTTGTGAACAAACTGTTGCGATACTGCAGTTGTGTATTTTGTTACATTGTTGCAGTTTTGAACAAAGAAATATTAATAAATTGCAGTTCAGAACAAATTATACTGGTATATTGAGATTTTATTAAACATGAGAATAAATGTAAAATATGACAATTTGTTCCCATGCATGACCTTAAATATTCTCCAGACAAATCCTCTTGGTTTATTCAGTCCTTCAGTGCCATGAAACCCTCCCCGTCTCAGCAGTGAGTCCAGCTTTGTTTAGGTGGAGGTGTCAATTGGTGAAAGAGGGAAGGGTTTGAATGAAAAAGGGAGTTTCAGTACATGCAGCATCAACACAAACACAGACAGAACAAAACACATACACGAGCACAAGAGCGCATATCCCTCGAACACACAGACCCCGCACGCCCGCATCAAGCGGGAGCTCATGATGACGCCCATACAGAGACACACACAATGACAGAAAACGAGTGCTCGACCTGAGAAAAATCGAGCAGAGCACAACAGGACAGGACAAGACAGAGCTAGTGTCCGGACTCTGCCACCAAAACAAAAATTTACAAGACCAGAGAAGCAGAACCCTGACACTATGTGTCCTAATAGTGTTTTTAGCAAGGTGGACCATATATATGACTGTCAACATCTAAAAAATTGTGTTTTGGTGTTTCGTGACACTTTAAAAATAACAAAAATTAGTCCTTCAAGTAAAACACTGTCAACAAAATATGTTTAACTTGGTATTTAATGTTTATTTAAACCTGTATCGTCCAGACAGTTACAGTGAAATCCAAGTTTTCAACTCGAATCATTAAAACATTTTTCTGCTTTGCTTTTTAAATACATTGGTAGAGCTGCTTTAAGCATGAAACATAGCCTGAACATGCACTCAAATAAAGCTAAAGCACCTTACAGGTACACATTTTCACATTTTACAGGTTTTTCTAACTGATTTTACTGAAAGCTCGCATCCACCTAAACAACTTGTGATGTTCCAATGTGTTGTAAAATGTGGTTGATAACAGCTAAATCTTAGTGTTTTCTCTAACAACACAATACTGATCATTTATATGTATAGTTAGAATATAGCTATAGATTGTAACATGACGTTCAGAGGAATCTCTGTTTGACGAGTCCTTTAGAGAAGCTATTTTAGGACTCTAGTGTTCAGAGTTTTCTTAATATAATACTGATCACATCTGCATAACATTAGCTGAAGGTGTAATGTGCTTTTCAGATAATTTTTCGCTTGACGAGTACTTTAGAGAAGAAAGCAGTGGAGGACTCCTGTGGGCTCCTGTTGTCAGTCAAGCACCCTTTAATCCTACGCAGATCTGAGCTTGAAATGTTGGCCTTCAGGTTCAGGAGTGCAAGAACATGCTGCTCACTAGAAACGTATGACAACAAAGACAAAAAGTTAAAGTTTAAATAAATAAGATGTATAGCTATGAATTTTTTGCCTCTTAGGAAAACATGGCTGCATTTAGGAAGTGTTGGTTAAGTTACCTCAAAAAATAAATGAATTACTAATTACATGGTTACAAGTGAATTTAAATTATTTTCAATTACTTAGTCTGAAAAGTACTGAACTAAATACAAAAAAATCCACATAAATCTCAATAGAAATTAAACTTTTAATTCTTTAAATTTGAGTCAAAGTGGATCTTTTAGTTACAATTTTATAAAAAACAATATATGTATCAAAATGCAAAATATTTTCAAGTAATGACACCATATTTCATTCCCATCATATATTGACAAATTTAAATGCTATTGTTTGTGAAGTAATTTTGAGTAATTCTTAATTTAAATGTGCTGTTGTTATTTTTAAAATTTATGATTTGTAAAAAAATTATTAAATAAAAAATGTATGCTATTTTTTGTCAGCTGTAGTTAGCACTGGTTTCAGGGTTTCCCCGGCAGAGTAAAGTAAATTGACATAGCTGTCTTGAGGAAAGTGGCCCAAGTGCATTTATGAGAAAATCTGTCTGAATGCATTTGTGAGAAAATCTGTCTGAATGCATTTGTGAGAAAATCAGCTTGAATGCATTTGTGAGAAAATTTGCCTGAATGCATTTGTGAGAAAATTAGATCCATGTGAATACGGATCACTTTGACACAACTTTTAAAACATTTGAGGCAAAAACTACTTTAAGTACAACATTGTTGTGTGAATGTACTGTTAGTACTACAAACAGACTCACCTAATGTCAGGATAATCCCTTGCCAGAGTAGCAATCTCGATTTGCAAACTTCCAGGATCCTGTAGTTTCAGAATCTCTGATAATTTGGGCAGTATTTTAGAGAGCCAGTCCTCTTTAGATCCCTGGAGAAGAGAATTGTATTAAATTTAGAAAATCTCCAAAGCCTCTTTACATCAACTCCTAACCAAAAACACTCACTGACTTTAATGAATATATTCTTTTTTTATTATATTGATCAAATACATTTTAATGAACACGAATGCCTTTACAATCTTCTAGATTTTGAGAAGATTTTGGTTTTGGGAATAGATGAACTTGACCGTGGTCAGTAATGTCAAAAGTTTCCAAACGTTTTTACTACCTATACCACTGAAGATATTAACTTTTGTAATATTGACTGTTTTAGCAAATCTGCACTTAGAAATGTAAAGTAACAATTTAGAGAACTGATGGTTCCAAAAAATTATTTTCCAGCAGCTTTCCTTAACCTAAAAAAGGTGTTGGATTGCGTTTGTAAGCAAGAGCCAAGTATTGAACAGTATGCGTCATCCACCAGGCCACCTCACTATTATCCAGGACTTACAGGAATTACTCCTTCCTCTTATTAAATCTCCCCTGTGAATAAGTACCATTGTGCATGTTTGTATTTGGTCATTTACTGTACATAAACGTGTGGGTCTGGATGTGATCTCACCAATTTGATGAAAACAGAGCATATTTCATTGCTGTCTTGGGACATGAACTCAGCAGCCGCTTCTTGCTTTTCCTTGTCTTTCAGTTTCAGTTTTCTCTTCATCATTCGCCTCACATACTCAACCATTACTTCTACATGCAGCTCAGCCAGCAGTTCCTGAACAATCACATGCACACACAGAACTGTTTATTAAATCAGTGTGATAAAAGCATTGGCATTGCAGAGACCAGTGTAAGATCATATGCCTATTTACAACAGTTTCAAGTTTGCTGGCATATTTTTTATGGACATTCACAATAAAAATGCCAGTAGAGATTTTGAAATCAGCCTTTTAAAATAAGGCTAATTCATGAACTGTAAAGAAATGCTGGGTTGTTTTAATCTAGTGTTTTGAACCTAGTGAAATTTATGTTATAACTATTGGGTTTGTCCGTATTTGACCCAGTGTTTGAGGTATACGACCCAGCATTTTTAGAGTGTATATTTTTCAAAACAGCAAGAACCATGGTATTTATGTATTTACCTTATTTCATAATTATTATTTTTTTTGCAACATTGTCATTTTTTAACATGAGTCACAAAGGCTTTCTATACTAAGCATTTACCCTTGCCTCTATAAACCACACATATATACAGCAAGGGAAATAAGTATTGGACACGTCATGTTTTCCTGGAAATAATATTTCTAAAGGAGCTGTTGACATATAACTGAACCAGATTATACAAACATATAAATAAAACAAAACAAAAAAAAAATAGAATATTAATAGTAACAATGAAATGACACAAGGATAAAGTACTGAACTACTGAAACATATTTAATACTTTATATAAAAGGCTTTTTTGGTGGGTAGCTTAAAAACGCCTCTCATATGAATTGTTCAGGTGGGATTATTTTTACAGAATTCAACAGAGTGTAAAAATCATAATGCTCGGTGGGTCTCGTCTATCAAATCTGATCTTATTTTGTATTAAAATCACAAGTCAGGTGATTGGCTGGGCCATTCTACGTCTTGATTTTTTTTCTCTGAAACCATTTGAGAGTTTCCTTGGCTGTGTTTTAGATCATTGTCTTGCAGAAATGTCCACCCTGGTTTCATCTTAATCATTACAACAAATACATTGTCCTTTTAAGTGTCAGAAAAATAATATCAGTTGCAAAAGTGATTCTGACCTCTCTGCAGGCAGGCTTCAGATCTTTGAAATCATTACTGATTTTTTCAATGGCCTTCACCAGCTCCTCTACAACCTCAGAGTTTCCAGCAAACCAGGTTTGAGTCCACAGCTTTCGGTACACTGGCTGTATAGAAGAAACAAAAACATGTGTTTTTTATCTTGTATATAATAAATAAGGAAGCAAAGTGCATCATGTAATTCATCCAATGACAGTAGGACATTTGTGTTGGTTCTGAAACATAATTCTTTTTTGATCATATAATTTGTTTGTACATATGCTTAATGTGCAATGCACTTTTCTGAGAAACACAATACATACAACTGTAACAGGAAATCCTCAGAGCACAGGTTACAGATAGAATTTCCTGTCATCTTCAGTGGGATTACATAACAAACATGGACCATTTTTTCTGTCTTGTTTGGTAATTAAAGTCTCAAAGCAATAATGATATAAAATTAATGAATAAAAATGGCATTTATGGTTTAAAGCTGATGTATGTACGTTTTTAATTCTTCTAAAGCATAAAAAAATACCATAATATGTTTGCAGATATTTAAGAAACATGCTATATTCAGCTTTAAATATGTGCGCTACGTGCAGGAAAGTGTCTTTGTTTTGTTTACTTTAACTGGCTCAATGAAAACCAATGATGCATTTCATTCATTTATTCAGAAAGGCAATCAAGGCATGCACCCATGACTGAAATGCGACCTCCGGTGAACAGAAGCAGACTCCGAAATGAGACACAGATTCAGAGTTCCACATGAGGTTAGTAATTAGTTAGGTGAGCAGGTTACATTGTAACCCTGTGTCCTAACAACATGCTATGTGAGGAGATTTGCAGTGATGAGCAAAATGGCAGTTTGTACCAGACGAAACGCGACAGAAATTTTAATACATCCATATAGAAGCAAAGAATACCCACTCACTCTCAAAATGATGAATCTAATTAATACATTAATACAACACTCACAAATTTGTAATCTAATTAATACATATTAAACCGCTTTAACGTTATTAAATGTAGATGCTGTATCTCTGATATGTGTTGGTTTTGAGTCACAGTTTCAAAATTCAGTTTCAAACAGTTTGTTTTATTTTTAAGATCTAGTGTTTTTTAGGCCTTTTTAAAACAGATCTACCAACTACCTGTGGTGTTATTTCAATGACAAATGTCATGAGCGAAGTATTACAAGTCGAGATCGCATTCAGCCTATGTAATAGCCTACAGCATGCGAATCTCTTAGCTTGCGTGCCGATTTCCTCTGCTCGTGCACAAAACTTCTTGCACGGCCTCAAATATACGCTGCTCAAGCGCAGATCTTCTTGTGCGCTTTCAAATAAACGCTGCTGAAGTGCGATTTAGTGCTTTTATATTACAAGTATATCTCCAACATTTATTAGATTTGCTAGGAATGTTTATGAATGTCTCCAATAGACCTGCAGAGCAGTATTAATGCATTTTGAAGGGAAATGAAACGGCTATACGTCCGTCCTGTCAGTCAGCCAGTCAGTCAGTCAGCACGTAACCTTAAAGGGTTAAACAAATGATGCACAGCTCTACAACGGTTACAGAAAAGTTTGCTCTGTTATAATTCGCTTACCTTTTAATATGTTTTGGTGCGATTATCACCTGCTATTAAAAAAAAAAAACCTGACTGAATGTCTGAATGTTTTGAATGAAAAGCTGTAATGTGCCGTGGCGGGATCTATTTTGGCGTGGCGCCCCGCCATGGAAGAATAAATGTAGCGGAAACCATGAGATCTGTGGTGAACTATCTGCTGCTGCTTTCAGTAGTAATAAATGTCATTTAAAATGACATTCAAATTCACATTGTTAGCATTTGACACTGAATAAAGCACATGAGGTGTACCTGAGGTAAACATTGTCAGTTTATCCTGTTGTTCAGCTGCAAGTAGCCGTTTCTAATATATAATTTCGAGATGTCGGTTGGAACAAAAACTCCTTGTAATATGAAAAATATTCAGTCTATGTCGTGCCATTGCTTTTATCTTTCATTTTTGAACATAATTTTAGAAAGTCAATTAGATCCTTAAAGTGATAGTTCCCCCAAAATTTTAATTTACTCAGACTTAAGTGGTTCTAAATGTTCTTCTGAATTCCTTCTTTCTGTATGACACAAAACAAGATATTCTAAAAGAAATGTTTGCCATTGACATCCATAGTAAGAACAAAAAAAATTATGGAAGACAAGTAAATCTTCAGTATATCTCCCCGTGCATTCACCAGACAAAGGGAGGGTGAGTAAATAATGACAATTGTCATTTTGGCTGAACAATCCTTTAAACAACTATTAACATAGAGGTCAGATATAGTTAAGATACCCCTCCTCACCTCGAGGGAACCATCTATGAGGAACGCCTGTAAGCAAAACAGGCCTATGTTGTGCACTATCCAAAAGAAATAGTGTTTTAGTTACGGTGTTTAATATTTCAACAGTTTATTGACAAAATGTTTCAATTTAGTGGTTTACTGGGATACTGATTACATTCTTCATCTGTGTGAAGTTTAGTTCTGTAACTTAATGTACTGTAAACATGAATTGTTCAAATTAATATATTTACATACGGCTCCTTAACATTTTTATACATTTTATTTTGTTTACATCACGGATTGATTACTGTAACTCGCTTCTACGTGGCATTCGTGATAAACAACTTCATAGACTACAGTTAATTCAGAATTCAGCGGCTAGGATAGTTACCCGCTCACATACTTCTGATCCCATAACTCCAATTCTCTTTCACCTGCACTGGCTCCCTGTTCACTATCGTACACAATACAAAATCCTCCTCTTAACATACAAATCTCTTCATAACCTGGCCCCTCACTATCTTTCTGATCTTCTTCAGTTGTACTCACTGAGATCATCTTCTGCTGAACTGTTATCTGTCCCTAACTTTAAGATGAAGTCATTTAGTGGCAGGGCTTTTAGTTTTACAGCACCAAAGTTATGGAATTACTTGCCTTGTGCATTCGCCAGATGGACTCTATTTCCAATTTTAAATCTCAGATTACAACGTTTTTGTTTAGGATAGCTTTTATTGATTCGCTGGTTTGATATTATGCTGATTGTTATTTTTGCTGCTTGCATTTTTATGATGTGCTTGCGATCTGCTGTAAGGTGTCCTTGAGTGCTTTGAAAGGCGCCTAAAAATAAAAGGTATTATCATTATTATTATTAATACCTTTTAAGTTAAGGATGGGAAGAGTCAAATTTTATTGTTGCACGTTGATCTGAGCTTGCAAAGCTAAAACAAGTCAACACATTTCAAACAAATGTTTAACTTTCTAACCACTGATTAAAGAATGTTGATATAGAAAATACTTTAAATAGTTTAAATAAGTTTATTACCTTGCTGTAGTGTCAAATAATGACCTCTACATAACTGGATAAACTAAACACATTCATTGATATTTAAAGTAGCATACAATTGAGGTAGTAAATACTATCTGCAGGTAAATAAGTTGCTTTCAATGATTTGCATTCTTCACTAACCTTCAGTTCCTTGTGAATTCGGCTGAGGAAATATGTGTGACAGATGTTTCTGAGATCCATTAATATAGACATCCGAGTCGTTATAGTGTCCTCTAAAAAAAAATGTTCAACTTTTTGTACATAATTCCTGAGAAAATAGAAAAATAATTGTAGACACAATTTAGTATTACCCAAATACTGATAGAGGATTGCTAGTTTACATCAAAACATTTATTTCAATTATACATAATCCAAAAATCAGCAATGTATTGTCAACAATGCACTGCATGTCATTTATACTTGTTTTAAAGTAAATAATAATGTGAATAAGATGATAATATGAATATGATATATAGGAACATATTTTTTGCAGTATAGAAAGTCAGTGAAACTCACTTAAAAACGTAAATATTCACCAAGCTATCCCTGAGAATTTTAGGAATGTTTTCTTGTTTTCTTTTGACAAGTTCTTTCAGACTTGTCCCATAGCTGCCATTGGAGAAAATGGGGAAAATACCATCAGCCTTACTATTTTAATGTAATTAAATAAGAAGAATTTGTAAAATTAGTAATATAAATATTACCTACCTCAGTAGAGAGCTATCCAGTAGACATAGAAGACTCCAGGATTTACTTTCACATTCCAAAAGTGCATTGACCTCTTTCACAGTTCCTTCAATAAGCTTGGAAGCAAAAACATTTACATTTTATGAAATGCTGCTGTATATTTTTAATACATACTGCATAGCATGTCAACAGAGCCCATAGCTTACCGGCAAAACATCGACAGCAAGGTTACCAAAGTAGCATCCTTCAATGAGCTCAGGTTCAAAGCCATCACTCCATTTATCCACTTCTTTATCAAAAGCATTGGATAACCAATTTCTGACTTCATTCTAATTAGAACAAATAATCATTAAACCACAACATGTCACTGTAGAAGATAAGATCTAATAATAAGATCATCTCACAATGCCAACACAAGTGAGCACTATGGTGTCAAATGCATATGAGGTTGACTATTGATAAAACTATTTGGTAATGACTTTGATAAAATTACCTCCTTGCATGAGAAGTACTGATCCTCTAATCTTTTAAGATGTTCCTCAGGTAACAGAGGTCCAAGTAATGAACTGTTGATGTGCTGCTCCAGTTCTTTGTGCTTCAGTACATCTCTAAGATGAAAAAAGAACATTAATATTCATAAACAGTGTCAGAAAATACTGAATGTTTATAATAAAGATAATATAGAGCTAAGAAAAAAAATCATTTAAGAAATTTACATCAATTCTATCAAAATGCATTGCTATTCTCTTTTGAATGGATTCTGAGTTTAGTTTTTTAACAGCAGATGGTGCTTTATGCTTTATGAAACAGCAGTACTCTGCTTGCATCCAATTCCTTACAAATACCCCTCATGCCTAAAATAATCATTAAAAAGCTACTATTATGCATTATAAAAGGTCATATTTTGGTTTTGGGGGTTTCCAACAACAGCCAAGACAAAAAAAAAAATAAAACTTTCATTGTCTTATAACATGCATTTATTCTTAATTAACTATCCTGACTCGTATATTATTTGTTCAGCTATTTATTTTTCCAAACCCCTACTTTGCATGATGTCAATCTGCGATGATTAGTCTAATGACCAAGTCTGCTGTGATTGGTCAACTGTGTTCGCATGAGACAAAAAGAAATGCCCACCGCAGCTTATAAACATTGTTGAAGTAGCTAGAGTACAGAGTATATGTGTGAGCCCAATGCAGGAGTGCATTAAAACAATGCAGTTAAACCCCAGTATATTGCTAAAGTAATAAGAAATAACAACGACACACTTTCAGTATTAATCAACACAGTGGCAAAGTTAAATTATTTAAAAATTTACCACCTCCCGTCTGTGTAGGAATAGTTGATGGTGGCCATATCAACAACAAACACCGGGGAATCGTGAACTCCGAAATGCATTTAAATCGTTAAAGTGGTACTGTTGTGAAAATGAACTTTAAGGTTTATTTTTGACAGAGACTTGGTTGAAACACGCAGAAATGTCATCTCTTGTCAAGTTATCTCCTTCTGACTGTTCATTTTTCAGTACTCCAAAGCATAATTGACTTGGTGGTGGCACAGTTTTTAAAAGCACTTTGAAATGTAGATTTCAGCATGTTGATGGCCTGTTTCGTTTTGAAGCACATATACTACAGACTGATCTAAATGGCGCTTTGTCTGTGTACTGGTCTATAGACCTCCTAAAGTAGTACACCCTTCATTAATGAATTTTCTGAGTTCCTGTCTGATTTGGTGTATCGTTGTGACAGAATGTTGGTTTTAGGTGATTGGTTAAAAACTTCATGAGCCTTTTAGATTCATAAAATTTAGTGCAGACTGTTTCCAGCCCCAATCATAATCAAGGCTATACTCTAGATCTTGTTTTGACTTATGGTTTTTCTGTGCATATCCAGGACATTTTTGGATGCTTATTTCTGATTATTTTCCTTTTTTTTTTTTTTTTACCTGTTATTCCATATAATCAATCTTTCTCACAGTTGCCATGCAAATTATGCTCTTGAGTTTTCTAATTCTTATTCCAAATTTCTTTCAAATGCTAATGCTTCTTTGCCATCTTGTATGGCTACTAAAAACTTGCTGAAATGTTTAACTTGTCATTTTGCTTTAAATAAAGTTGCTCCTCTTAAATATAAGAGGTCAAGGGTCAGTTCCAATCCTCAGCCCTGGTTAAATTCATCTACCTGTACTCTCAGGCAAGAGTGCAGAAGGGCTGAGCACAGAAAAAGGAAGGACTTCAGGTTTCCTACCAGATTTTAAAAGATTGCTTAAATGCATATCAAGACAAAAGTCTTTTTAAAACCATAAATTCAGTTCTTAACCCAATTGTTTGCTCAGTTCCTGTTGTCAATCTGGAGACGTCCATACATTTTTTTGCCCAGAAAAAAACAAGATATTACATCAAACCTCTATCCTGCTGACATGGATAACTCTAATTTGGTCCCTCCATCCAGCATTTTAACAAGTTTTCAGCCTGTATCTTCTTCTCAGCTACTCAGAATAATTACCCAGATGAAACTGACCTTTTGTTCTTTAGATGCACTGCCTTTCTGTCTATTTAGAGAGGTTTTATATACAATCAGCTCTTAGCTGTAATAAACAGCTCTTTAATAAACAGGGTTTTTTTCAGAAGTGTTTAGACATGCTGTTGTACAGCCCCTATTAAGGAGGCCTCATGTTGATCCTGCTGTGCCTGACTTCTACAGGCCTATTTATCAACTCATTTATCTCAAAGGTTTTAGAAAAAATTGCAGTTTCACAGTTGACTTCATATCTGGATATTTTTTATATTTTAGACCCATTTTTATCTGGTTTTAGAGCAAAACACAATACTGAGTCTGCACTACTGAGTTGCAGAATCACAGTTTACTCTCCATGGATTCTGGGTCTGCAATTATTATACTTTTAGACCCAAGTCTTTCTTTTGATACCGTAGATCACGACATTTAATTGAAACAACTTGAGTGTGTTGCTGGGGTTCAGGGCCGTGCCTTACAGTGGTTCTCCTCATATCTAAAGGGGAGATTTCTGTAAATATTGGATCCTTCACTTCACCACCTAAACTCATTCATAGTGGTGTTCCACAAGGATCTATTCTTGGCCCTCTTTTATTTTCTCTTTATATGCTTCCTTTAAGCTCAAACATAACATAAACTATTACAGCTATGCCGATGACCTTCAACTACATTTTCTTATCCAACTAGGAAAAGATTTATCTTTAGAACACCTTTTCTTATGCCAAACTGACATTAATACCTGGATGACCAATAACTCTCTGCAACTAAATGAAAATAAAACTAAAGTGCTCTTAATAGGTCCTGCTGCGACCAACTCAGCTAGGATTCCTAAACGACAATCTGCACAATCACGCCAATACTCTTGGGAGTTATTTTTGATCCAATTCTGCAGTTGACAAGCATGTAAATGCATTTTTGAAGATCAGCTTTTTCCAACTTAGAGTGATGGCAACAGTTAAACTGTTTCTTTCTAAAAAAAAAATATTTAGAAATTGTAACTCATGCTTCAATTTCTTTTTGGTTAGACTACTGCTACTTTTTGTAGATTGGTCTACTTCAGTCAACGCTGTCTCAGTTACAGTTGGTTCAGAATGCAGCCGCCTGATTAATAACAGAAATTAAATTTAGAGATCAAATCTCCCCTGTCCTTGCCTCATTGCACTGGTTTCCTATAAAACTCAGAGTTGATTTTAATATCCTTCTTTCACATATAAAGCATTGCACAATTCTGCCCGGTCTATATCTGTGAACTTATTAGGCCACATACAGCTTATAGGCCTGTTAAGGTCCCATGATTATTTTGTCTGTCCCTCGGTCTTGCTGCAAGTCAAAAGGTGATCAAGCTTTTTCTGTGTTATGGCCTCAAGGCTCTGGAATAGTATCCTTCTGAATATTAGAATTTTTCCATGATTGGATGCCTTTAAAATTAACTTCAAAGACTTATTTTTACTCTTTGAGTTGCCTTTGAGTGATGCATGCATGTGATTTCATATCTGTATTTTAGTTATTACATATTTAAATATAAATATTTTTCCTTATAATTTTATAAAAGCTTTATTTAAAATTTTTTATTAAATGTGAAAATTAGGGTTGCACTGGTCTGAAAATAGCAACACATCGCGCCATACACATCTTGCACCGTATTGCGCCAGGTGTATGATAGGGCCCTTAAACTCAAGACCAAAATCATATAATCGACTCCAAGTCTATTTTTTGTTTAGAGTCAATCGTTTTAAACACTGTGCACTTTCATATTTAAACCTCAGCTGAATGTTTTCCTTTACTTAGAGCAAGGGTGGCCAACCGTGTTCCTGGAGAGCCACCTTTCTGCAGATTTCAGTTGCAACCCATATCAAACACACCTGCCTGTAATTACCACTTGGTGTTCAGGTCCTAATTAATTGGTTCAGGTGTGTTTGATATGGGTAGCAACTGAAATCTGCAGAAAGGTGGCTCTCCAGGAACAGGGTAGGCCATGCACCCCTGACTTAGAGCTGTGATATACAATGCATTTATGGTCATTTTCAAAAACCCATAATCAAAAACCCTCTTTGATAAAGCATCAATTAAAGAGAGAGAGTAGCGATGCATTTTGAGCATCTCAGAATTTATGAAGCAGAATTGATTTCTCAAACAATTTATCCCCACAGCTCAAATAGATAGCTGACATGTAAATGAATGTGCTTTTAAGACATCAATCTTACTTTGGGTAGTAGATCTTTATCCAGCTCAGTATATAGGCGCAATCCTCAAACTCAATACTGGACCTGGTAAGCTCTTGCAGTCTGGCGGAGAAGGTCTGATGGTAAAGTTGAGCATATGTTCTGCAGATGTCAAAGTCTGCTGGATAACACTCCTTTAGATTTCGGACCACAATCAGCAGGTCTTTTTGTACTTGTTTGCCTGTTCGGCACACCTCTCTCTTTAAGGAAGTGGACAGCTTGTCTGCTTTATTCTCCTGTCCATCTGCATTTTTCAATCGTGTCTCCACTAAAGTCTTAAGCAGTGGATCATGGATTTTTTGTCTGCACTCTGTGGGCCTCCATATTGGACGCTGGTTTTCAGAAACTTCTGCCCAACGTCTGTCCTGTGCCTCCTCTTGAAGTATTGAAATCAACGCACTCTTAAGTGTCTCCTGATTTTCCTCATTGAAAGAGTCAAGAATGGCAAACTTTAGTCGCTCCCTGAATATCTCTGAGTCTCTCAGGAGCTTGTCCTCTTCATCTTCTGTCCTGCCTAAATTATTTGAACCGAAGAGACGTTCTTCAGCTTTTACCAGCAGCTGCTGTGCATCAGCCAAACGGTTTTGTTCAAGGTTGCCATTGAAGTCTAGGCTCACTGTTGGATGTGAGAAAGTTATTCTGTTATATTAATCTGCCAAATGAATCTTCAGCTTCTGGTAATTCTCAAGTGTGTACTATACCTGAGGGAGCTTCGGGGTATTTTGAATTCTTCTGGCGTTTCATGAAGTCGGGCAATTTTATTTTATTGGCTATTTTAATTTTGCTTTTCTGACTTTTCTCTTCAGGATCTTCAGGGGAGTCTGCTATGCATTCAATGGCCTCAAAGTCCACATCTGAAATGTAATTCAGAAATCGAATGAAACAAACAACTAATTTAATCATGTCAAATACAGAGTAAAAGAACAGTCACATATATAAGGGTGCTAAAGGAAAATCATGATATGATTAATAATAAAATAAAAAACACCACTAATACATTTACCTACAACTTCCGGTCTGAAGACAGCTTCAGATTTCGAATTCCTTTTGCTTGTGATAAGGTTTTTCATTTTAATATTTTTTGGGATTTTGAATTTATGGTTCTGTTTTTCATATTGTGCTTCAGGATTTTCTTCAGCTCCGTGTTCATCACCTTGGATTTCTTCACCTTTTCCAAGGTCTTTTTCTGAAAGGAATCAGAGATAAGGTTGAGGTTATTGTTTAGGGTAAGGTTAAGTTTAACAGTTGTTAGTCGTTGCTGGAATTTGACTCTAATTTAGGGCTGGGCGATATGGCCAAAATTGATATCATAATATATTTCTAAATTGCAATCGATATTTTTTGATATAGTCAATTTAAAAAAAATAAATAAACACAAATAAAATCATCAAATAAACAAAATCTCTATAACTATATAGCTGAAATCTTAGTCTATATAATATAGGCTGAACATTCTTGCAGACAACAACAACAATAACAAACAGACTGCTCCAGCCAGAATAATGTGAGCAACTACAACTAAATATAGATGGATGGTTGGATGGATACAGTATATGTATGGCATGGTAGAAATAAGATGAAAGAATTTTTCTCTTTTTACACAGCTAATGTTAGGAATAGGGCTGATTTTTACAGCCATTTCTGGCCAATTAGAAATGTCTGGAATTGTCTACAATGATCACTGTTTCATGCTCTTCACTGAGTGCTTTATTGGGCACTGAACCATGCAGAAATTATCAATCAACTGACAGATCAGTTGAAACATTTTACTTTCAAAAGTGAAAACTTTCAAAGCTATAAGCAACTATACTGCTGAGCGCTGACTAGTTTTGAATCTTTAATGTAGAATATCATCACACAAGCAGCCTTTCTAATGTGGCCAGTATTTTATTTATATCGAAACATTAGAAAAATGTTTAAAAACCATCACAGTTATTAAAAAAGCTCCAGCTGGCTATGCCTTGATTGTTCCTGTTTTGTTGGAATCTGCTTGGTTCAGGAAAAATATGACTGCAAGAGGAAGGAACTTGGGCAAATCTGACTGAGAAGAGTGCATGGGTGGAGTTGGAGCTGAATGCATTTAGAGAATGTAATAGGTACTATACTGCACTATATCTATTACTGTGTTGCACTCAGAGGTTTGAATTTACACTAGGCTGTGCTCAGAGGGTTGCAACTGTGGAGATAAATTCCCTGTAGCAGACCCATCATGAGATAACAGGAGTTACCAGAAAGGTTGCAGCCATTTGGCTGGCAGCTAGCTCTCTGCAACTCTCACATTGTCGCCCCCTAAAACTAAGCAGGTCTGCGACTGGTCAGCACCTAGATAGGAGACCACACGAGAAAGCTAGGTTGCTGCCGGAAATGGTGTTAGTGAGACCAGCAGGGGGCTCTCAACCTGCAGTCTCTATGGTCATTAAAAATCCCAGGATGTCCCTCCAGGTGTCATTCAGGTGAATGCAGTACACTGGTGGTGGATAAGAAGATTCTCCCAAAGTGTAAAGTGCCTTGAGTGTCTCGAAAACGCAATATAAATGTAAGGAAGTACTTGTTTAAGGGTGCCAGATGAAGTGGACCTATTCTTCATCTTCCAATATGTATGGGCCTTCTGAGGACACTGACTGCAGTTTGATTGGAGGGCAGTCATTGCAGGAGGTCTATGTTATGTTCCCAGAATGGCAAATTCCCCTGCTTTCCCATGTCACAGACACTGATGTCCAGCAAGTAAAACCTTTTTTGAGATCCATGGTGACTAATAATTCAGATCATCCACCCAGCATGTGAAAGTCACAGACCAAATCCCTAACGTCAGCCTTTGTCTGATTTAGAAACCGTTGCCAGACTTTTCAAATCATCTGATTTCTCACAAAGCCATATGGTTTGGGAGATGTGAAGAGGAAGATGCGGAATTTTAGCTGATTTTAGTTCTCGTTTGCCATTTTGTTCTGTCAGATTTTGTTGTATGGATAGGTCAAGGTTACAAGTGCAGTGATGACTACTTTTTATTGATAAATAAAATTTACAAAATGTTCCCTGTTGAGAAAAAACAACAGCACATGGACAAGACTGAACAACAGGACTGCAAGCAGTAAACACAAGGGAAATACAATCATGATCTGGCAATGAACTGAAAACACCCATAGAATAAAATGTCGAGCATAGGTCACAAACTCAATTCCTGAAAGACCGCAGCTCTGCACTGTTTTGCTCCGACCCTAATCAAACACAGCTGATCAAAATAATTGTGGTGTTAAAAAGATTCATGAACACATCAATAATTTGGATCAGCTGTGTTTGATTAGGGTTGGAACAAAATTGTGCGGCCCTCCAGCAATTGAGTTTGTGATATAGTACAAGCAGTGCAAGCAGTAACAGAATTTGCAGTGTCAAACAACAGACAAACATAGCAAAGCCAATTGCTCACACAAAACGCGAGAGAAGACCACAAGGAGTGTCAGAGCTGTGTACAGATGTGACAACCCTGACAGTATGTGATTTTGTCATATGATACACCGATATACTCTTTGTAAAGCTCTTTTTATTTCTTGGATTAAAAGTAAAAAGATCTTCGAAATACCTTTGTAGCGATATGTGGATAACAAACTTCCAGACCTCGTCCACACTTCGGAGAGCAATGTTAATATGAAAATATGTAAAAACAACTATCAATATGAGGACTTTGGGATGAAATAGTTCCAGTTAATCATTTCTATCCTATAACACCACCCCAAATATAGGTTAGCATGTTTAGTCAACCATAGGGCTGGGCGATTTTTTCAATTCTTTCAAATTTACGTTTTAAGACGATAACATTTTTATTAAATCGAGGTATCGCAATTTTTTTATAAAAATATTAGATACATTATAATTGTACCAATGCGCTTTTGCTCCGTGTCTCTGTGTTACTCTGCCTGACTGCCTGGGTTTCAATCATTGTAGTGACGGACTGAACACAAAGACTGGACAGCCTAATTTAACCCAGTGCATGAAGTTGTGGACGAGCATAGCAGAGGTTTTTTTTGCAAGTTTTGCTGAGCCTGGGAAAAATTGGCTGTCAGCTCGGCTTTGACTTTGTCTTCTTCTGATTGAATGACAGGTTGTAATGCTGCTGCTATTTTCTCAAAAAGATACAGTGGAAGTAAAGGATTGAACACAGAAACTGTAAAGCCTAATTTAACCCAATGCGTGAAGTTGTGGACATATAGCAGGAGCAAATACAAGCACCATATGTGTCTAATATAAAATAATTTAATTATTCTATTTTTGTATTTCCCCCTTTTAAATACCGATCATTTGATGCGCTTTGCACCACTCTCTGTATTATGCTGCCTGACTGCCTGTCTGGGTTTCAACTAGGTCTACTAATGAGGTCATGGGGCCGAGTACTTTCACTTTTCACTGCTACAGCTGCTCACCCCTGCTCATGTTCAAACCAAACTAAGATCAGCGTGGTGTTTCTATGGCAGGTTTTTATGTCCTTCATACATGTTGAGTTTATCGACTTGATAAGGGAATATGTCTTGACAATCCACACAGACGTGACTTAGTAAAGCATAAAGTCATGTAGGATTTAACTTGTTGCATTAGTCTGAATGTAAATACCCTCGTCAGCGCTGGAGAGTGGAGCAAAGCGCGTTTGATGCAAAGGTATTAATAAAAGAAAAATACACAACTGAAGACACTTAAATGCTTGTATTTGTTGTATTTGCACCAGCTCTGTATTCCTGCAACCAGTGCCCCTTCTCAGAGGATGTTCAGTGCAGGTGGGAACATTATAACCTATCACAGACCATCTTTAAAGTCTGAAACAGTAGACAGACTGGTCTTCCTCTCAAAAACCTGTAAAGAACAGCTACATGTGACTTATTAACAACATGCTTTATGTTTGCTTGATGCAAACAAAGTGTTGTTTATTAATTAATTAATTTATTTTTACTGTTGTAAATTTGCTTAACTTTTTGAGTTGACTGATGTAATATTTACATTAGTTAAAATGGGTATTTTCTCACTATATTCAGAACAGAAGTATTTATTGTTTGATTCAAATTGCACAATATTTACTTTAATATTTTATTAAATATGGTGAAAAATCCAAATTTCAAGCTGTTTGGACAGACATGTGTGTGTATATATAGTGTATAGACCTTCATATTGGGGTGAAATAAACGCAAAAAGTCCTTTTTTTTTCAATTTCACAACATAAAAACGGTGGACCAATTGTAGTGATTTTCAGACCGACCGCAACTTGACGGAGGAGTGCGGTCCCCCCGCCCACCGAATTGATTGACAGCTGTTACATTAACATGTCTCGGTAGTCACGTGTATAATCATGTCATCAAGATCTGACGTGCATAAAGATGTGTTAAAGGGCACCAAGGTTACCCCTTTTTTCAGATTTAATATAAGTCTTTTGCATCTCTAGAATGTGTATATAAAGTTTCAGATCTAAATACCCATCAGATTTTTCATTATACCTTTTACAAGATGCTGTTTTATACTGATTTCCAGCAGGGGGTGGTTTTGTTGTACTGCGCCTTTAAGACGAGTTTTTCCCGCTTACTGCTTCTACATGCCTCCTCCCTCAGCTGCTTCAGACAACAGACAGACTTAAAGGAAGGAGGTCTCACGTAGCGTTTGTGAGATACTACAGTAAGAACTAACCTTTACTAATCAGTATTGTGAAGTTGCATTGATGAGTCACACACAATATCGTTACAAAGTAAACGCGCGTGCACGCGCACACACACACACACACACACACACACACACACCGCAGATGACACACACACAGGCAGGCAGACAGACAGAGCGCGCTTAGCTTAGTTAAGGCTAACCTCAAGTACTGTGTGGATATCTGTTATGCTAATGTACAAAATAAACCTGATTTAACTTCCACAAACCGGGATTGAAGCGTCTTCTTTTATAATTGTTCTGACACGCGGCTGTGCTGATGAAGTAAAGCTGAAGTAAAACGCTGTAATTAATTACACACATACTCTGTTTTAAAACACTTTAAACATGTGAAACTTACTCTTAATCACATTTGATGATGATTGCTGATCCTAGCGAACAGAACAGACCTTTTATTCCCGGTTGCTTTGCGTATGTCTGTCTGGTCTTGTTGACATATACACGCGACTACCGGAACATGTTAATGCGCGCAGCTGTCAATCAATTCGGTGGGCGGGGGGATCGCACACCTACGTAATGGTGCGATCGATTTGAAAACAGCTCCAATTGGCCGACCCTTTTTTTTGTAGTTAAATTGAAAAAAAAGGACTGGGTGTGTTCATATCACCCCAGTATGATGGTCTATACACTATACCAACACACAGATCTGTCCAAACAGCTTGAAAAGTAGATTTTTTACCATAGGTGCCCTTTAAAGTTCTTACTGGAGTATTTCTCACAAACACTATGTGAGATCTTCTTCCTTTAAGTCTGTCTGTTGTCTGAAGCAGGGAGGAGATTAAGGCATGGAGAAAGACACATAGAAAAGGTAGGCAGGGAGGACTCGCCTTAAAGGCACAGTACGACAAAACAACCACCTGGTGGACAGATGTATAAAACAGGGTCTAGTAAAAGGTATAATGAAAAATCTGATGGATGTTTTGAGCTGAAACTTTACATACACATTCTGGAGAGGCAAAACACTTATATTAAATCTGAAAAAAGGGGTAACCTAGGTGCCCTTTAAATCTTCTGCAACAATATTTAACCCGTGAATTTGTTTTACATTTATTTACACCTTGTTGACCAATTTATGTACGGCATGGATATTAAAAATACAATGTTATTTAACCAGATGGCTTTTCAAGTTACTTATAAAGAGAATGTTAATTCAGTCATGTTGTTGTAATGTTTTAAGTTGAGTAGTTACACAATAAAAAACAAAAAATCGAAATCGTAAATCGGTCAAACTTTATGAAAAACCTAGATTTTTTTTTTTGCCATATCGCCCAGCCCCAGTCAACCATCTTAATTACTTAAGCAACAAACAGATGTCACAATATAGCCTAGGGTAGGATTTTTTTTATTTATTGTTGTAGTAATTTTTGTGTCAGTTAGCTAGCATACAAGCCACCAAGTTGCAATTTGGCTAACATATCAAATGTGCATACAAAACTTGCCAAATGCATGTTCTTCCTAAATTAATTCATTTAGCACTAGATTAAAACAGATGAAGTAAAGTATATGAGGATCCTCTTTTTGCCATCAGTGTTCCATATCACTTGATCTGAACTGCAACCATGTTATGATCTGACTATAGTTCAATTTCACTATACAAAAGTGTATGTGTAAAATAAATGCCTGATTTGATTTGATAGCTGATTGCATCTCAACACAATTTCAACTTAACTATGCTATTTGAACTTCTACTAACAACTCAGTTATGCCGAGTTCAGACTGCATGATTTTAGCCCCGATTTTGACTCGTAACAGATTTTGTGAAATCGGCTACAAAATCTTGAAATCACCGGCAAATCTGTGCTCGTTCATGTGAGTAACAATCACACAGTGTAAATTATTAAAGACACTATCTGAGAGAAATTGCAGATGAGTCGCCGACACCCGTGAGATATTTGGTGTGCTAAATATCTGGACATGTCAGCGATACAAATCATGACTTGTGAAATGTGTTCTGATTGAAAATAACATCTGCGATCACCTACAGCCAATGAGAGAGCAGCATCCACTAGTATGAGTACCTGCAGGCCAGCGGGGGGTTGGGCGATGTCGGCCAATTTGGCATCATACATAACCATATGTACGAACCATATACAACCGCTTAACCGAATTATAAATAAACAATGATAAATTACACACAAATTACTAACTGTGAATCACTTTTGCGCAGGACTCTGGCATACATAGGCAGAGTGAAATGTGTCGTTATAATGGCGTCAACAAACTTGGTTGGGAAAAAAAAGTGCAAAACCAACAGCAACCAACCAACAGTATCTAAGGTTTTCACTAAAATTACTCAGCACAAGCGTGAAAGCGAAAGTTGAAGCAGTGTACTGACGCTGTGACACGTTAGCTGATAGATTCAGAAGACCAAAGAGTCGTTAGATGGAGACAACAGTAATTAAATATCACGCTCAACAACTAAAGTGATACGTGATCTAGCGGGACATTCTTGATAAACTCTCCGATGTGCACTGCTCAGAGCATTTGCTGAGCTGGAGCTCAGACTAGTGCATGACAGTGTGTGTGTGTGTGTGTCTCTTTGTGTGGTCAAGTGATGTGCATTTTCAGCAAGTGGTACTCGTATAGTGTGGACGGAGGACTGTTCAGAAATGCTAGATGAAACGCCAGTGTGGATGTGGATGATTTTTGTTCTAAAATGCCATTTTAAAACTAAGACGTATTCGTGAAAACAGGCCTAAAGGGCATGACAGTTAAAAGTATTGCACACTAGACACGCACTTTCACATGCTATTTAAAATGAAACTATTCAGATGGTGTTCTGTGGCGCGGCAGAAATAAGAATAGTGTCCTGAGTCGTGGCTGGGCGAAACCTATGATTAGGATTCTGAAATGCATGCCGCGACGCTGCACGTCGCCGAGCGGTGCTTCTGGTGTGTGACCCCCTTAAGTGTGTATTTTTCGCGAGCATATTTGTGAAAGGGGGCGGGAAATTGCGATGCTGGCTCAGCATCGTGATGTCTATCGGCCATAGGCGATTGACGATGGCATAGTCTATTGACACAACCCTAGTTAGAGGAAAAGTCAAAAGCACTCATTTACCGTTTATTTGGACCCAAGAAATGAAGGAAAAACTAGTGTAAATTTGGCAGAAGCACAGTGTCTGTTTGACGCATCATCTGAGTAATATCACAAAAGAGTCGAAAAGTTAAAAAAAAATGTAATAGAAAATGCTAATTCTCTTCTCCAGCTGAGCAAAATAAGTACAATTTCTAAAGCTAAAGCTTTTTTTTTTTATTATGTAGTCAATAGCAAAAGATATTACATGACCTTGCGTTGTTTCCATGTCACTTCTCGCATTTGTTTGGTTGTGAGATGTATTTTGGACAAAGTTGGCAGCAATTCTGCCTAATATAAAGTCATGCAGTGTAAATCCCCCTGTCGCCGATCCATCCTTCAGTGTAAACACAGTAGCTACAGAATGCTAACCCAGATAGTCATGCAGTGTGAAAACATCCGTGACACGACTACTTTGAAAATCATGCAGTATAAACTCAGCATTAGGTGCATCAACCTTGGTTGTGATTGATGGTCATTTGAATGAGCAACAACACACACACACAAACACACACTCTCTAGCCCCTTTCACACAGTGATACCGGTAAATATCCGGAAAATTTACAGAACGACTTTACCGGTTTATTTAAAAAAGCACTGTTCACACAGGCAAGGACGTTACGGAATTTTTCCGGAAAAGAGCATTCACACATCCATCGCAAAATGCCGGTAAATTCTGACATCATTAACCAGAAATGACCTCTAAACGGCTGCGCTTGTGTTTGTAAACATTTGACTACATTACAAACTCTTTGGATGGATCAGTATTGAGTACAACTCCAATACTCCATGATATGTGTGTGTGCTGGTGCTATGGGCGCTCACGGGCACACGCAAAGCTTGAAGGTAAACAAACAACGGATTATCATAAACATTTTATCGATAATTATTTACACAGTTAGCATTAAGAAGGAACATAGAAACGTTATCTGACTAACATCTAATTGCTAAAGGTGTCTGGAAAAATATTCAAAGGCTTTTATTTTCATAAACCGCGCGCACGTGAATGCGTCTGACTGTTCTGATTGGCTAAAGCAGGTGTCTCACGTCAGCACGTTCTAGACGTGCACGCGCTTTTTCCGGCAATCTTCCTTCTGCATTCACACAGCGCAGCATTCCGACAAATTACCGGTAATGTTACAACTTCTCTTTCCGGAAAATAGCCAGAACGAAATTAACGGTATTTTCAAAAAGGGCCTGTTCACACATACAACCTTTCCGGAAAATTGCCGGTAATTTTCCGGAAAGGTCTGTATGTGTGAAAGGGGCTTCTCTCTCTCTCTTACATATGAAAATAGTGTACTGCTTAACTGACTTGTCTTCTTTTGTTGCTTCGAGGAATTTGATTGTCCCCCGCTTTTTTTAACCTAGTCATTTATTAGGTTAAATGTAAATTAAATTCAATTTCCAAAGAAAAATATGTATTTAGTTCTATATTAATATTATAAATTAATTAATATAAATATTTGTTAAGTTAACTTAAAGGCCATTTAAAGAAAGAAAGACAGACAAAGAAATGGGGAACATACATTAGTAGCACAAGCAAAATAAAGCTCTATCTGTAAACTAAATATTCTCTTAAAGGTTTTAAATTGTAGTTTAAAATAAGAACCTTTAGTGTTGAACATTCAAAAAAGCTTCTTGTTTTTAAACTTCTTATACAACAAAAGTACACAAGTCTTATAAATGGTGCCAGCTGATTTAAATGTACTCCCCTGCAAATACAGGTTTAAAAGGTCACACATAAACCTCGCTGATGTCAAATCGTTCTCCGTAAAGTAATTTTACTAAATTATTTGATTGTAGCCTCGTCGTTTTTCATGGGAAAGGAGTCAGACTTCGGTACACCAGAATCACCTCAAAGCAATCGAATGGTGTTTTTGTTTTGAAAGGAGTCTGAAAGGAAAGATGAGTCCGCGCACGCCGCCCATATCAGAGGAGGTGCCTGCACAGTCCACGCACACTCTGGACGTGTATCCAGCGTGCCAGATGGAGAAAACGAATATTTCGAATATTTTCTGCCACGCGAGTTCAGTAACGTTATAATATTCGGCCTCAATACTTTACCATTATCAGGCAAAATGTCTCATAACGGGCTCAAGCGGTTCCGAACCCCGAACGTTCTTATGTCGATTAGCGCCATTACAGCACATCCCTGTTAAGCGCATCATTGTTTTATGTCGTGTTATGTTATGCTAGGAGATGATAATTACGACGAAGACGTAATGCCATGACGTAACTTTAACGCTGATTTGAGTATAGAAAGAATAGGCTGTTTTCTAAAACGGAATAAAAGGGCGGTAACGTTAAATTAAACTTGGTCAAACTACAAAAATTATATATTCGAAATACACATGACATGAAAACTATCGTCAAAACTTGATTGCTGCCTCGCAGTTTCACCTTAGACAGACTAACGTTACTGCACTGACAAAGATTTCAGACAATCGTAATGTCCGTTAATTAGTCAACGTTAGCTTGTGGAAACCCGCAGGCAGCGTTCTCTCTTGCGATGACTTAGCATAAGTCACGAAATGCAAATATAGCAGAAAAGTCTACATAAGGCTGTAATCAGTATAAATAAGCTACCAACTGACTTCAAGAATAGCCAAGTCATAGCTCCAAACAAAAGCTTGAATCCACGTCCATTACATTCAAAATCAAAACACATTATTTGCTAAATAATTTAGTGTATGTCATACTATAGATCGCTTACCTTCCATTACTCTTCTAAGGGCCATTATACTAAAATGCAGAGCGTAGTCCGAGTGTGTCTGGACCGTGCGGACTCAGCATTCGCTTGAGTTTGTCCTTCAGTCAGACTGTGCCCCCTGTTCCAACACTGTCTTTTTATAGCCGGCTTTTCCATGTGATCAGTGGAGAGACCCACAGAAAGATAGCATATGCATGTTTTGACTACTAATGTTCGCTGTTTGATGAATATCGCATTTCAGCTTGATTGCCTGCTTCCTGTTAGGGTTTAATTGTTTCAGCTAATAATAACAATTATGATTAATAATAATAATAAACATTTTTGTGTAAATGCCCCATATAGTCATGAATCTGTAAGCTAATGGTATTTTCCAGATTTCTTCTTAGCATTTTAACTTGGAAGCATTGATTAAAATAAATAAAAAAGGTAGTAGTTGTTGTTTTGTCTTTCTCTTTTATTTTTTACAAAGCATTTTTCCATAAATGTGTTGTATGATTGTGTGCTGCAGTCTGATACAAACTTTTTTGACAGAACTGACCTATAAACATTCAATAACCAGCAGTGGGAGAACTAAATGAAGTGAAAATGTTTGTGTTATTTTAGCTGTATGATATATTATTCTGACTGTGGGAAAGAATGCAGTCTAGTTTCACTCTGATTAACTTTTAAAACTTTTTTATTTAGCTATACTATCTGAGGAAGGACATTGTCAATAAAGGCTATCAATTATCAAGGCAGTAGGTTTAAAAAGCTTTTTTTTTTTTAAGCGAAACAGAAATATCTGTATATGTGTATCTGTGGGATTTGCTTCATTTAATCATGCGGTTCTCAGTAATCATATAATACAGTTTGTTATTAAACTTTTTAAAGGTTTAAAATCTGTTGTGCCTTAATATAAATTATTTCATGCCAGTACTCTAAGGCTTTATTGTACTCTTTATCTCAATGACAGAGAATGTACATAACACAAAACGTACAAAACAAATACATTACATGCTTTCATTAATCTGTATAGCAGCTCTGGGCTCAGAAAGTTCTCAAAATATAATTTTATCCTATTTTTTTTAAAGGAAAATTAAGGTGTATGTTATAGGTGGTTGTTAAATGCAGAGCTTTGTAAAAAAAAAAAAAAAGTGGAAAAAGAACCTGCAAGTTCAGAGAGACATCAAGCCTCAATATTCTAATGCAATACTTTTGAAAGTAACTTTCCCCAACACTGGTTATTAAAGCAAAGCCTGCTGGAAAATGAAACAGAAGTGCTTTATATCAGAACATTGAAATGATTGTTTGTTATGAAAGTGTATCAGCAGGGCAACTAACTTTGCTTATTATGTTTTCCAGCTACCCATGGCATTTTGCTCTTGCTTTTCTGATTCCCCCGGAAGTCATGTATTCCTCTTAGCATGTGTTCAATTCAAGTGAAGATACAAAACGGACAATTGTTTAACTCATGATTCTAGTGAATCATGTTGGGGAAAGCTACTTTTGAAAGTAATGCTTTACAATAATAAGTTACTACTCAAAAAAGTAACTAGTTGCATTAGTTACTTTTTATGGTAAGTAATGTGTTGTTGCTTTTGCACTGTTTATGAAGCTGTTGAAAGCTCGATTATTTTGATGAACATTTTAAATTGGGCAGGTATTTTCAATGCATGACGTAGTTTTAGACAGGTCTTTATTTCAGTTTTTTTCAAAATGACACAAAGCCCGTTACAACAGACAAAAATCACAACAAAACTAAACAAAGGGTTTAGGATAAGATAAGAACAATACAATACAATTTACACAGCAGTAGTTTGAGAACAAAAACTTAGTCCTATTCATTATTTTCTAATATTTCAATGGGCGCCATAAATTATTCTTTACTTGTTGCACAGTGCTTTGAAGTTGTTGATTCTGTCTGATGTGAAATAAAATTGTTCAAAATTAAAGTATGATTTCATATATCCAAATAATAGGTTAAATAAACATTTGACATCAGTTTAAAAAAAACTGTTGTTGTTCAGTTAACCTTCCCAGTAGTCCAGTGGTTCACAAAGTTGGGGTCAAGGGACAATGACCGAGGGTTGCCTGGGGATTTAACTGATTGAACTGTTAGAATTACCACATTTTTTCCATAATCTACAAAAGATAAAAATAGCAGTTAACAGTTACATAAAAAAGCAACAATATGCAAATGGAAAGCCATCAGCCCTTCAATATTTTTTCATAGGATTGGTGTGGCAGCTGCACCGGATTAATTTAATAGCACCAGGTCAAATTTCTGACATTTTTATGGCAATCAAATACATTCAAATTAAATTCAGGCCAAAACTGAATATTGAGGATGATCTCTGAGTGGTGGTCTCCGAAATAAACCAAGAATAGACTTGTAGACTTGAAAACACTGCGTCCACCTCTTTAGCTGAGGTTAATATTAAATTAAACACATTAATAAATGACTATTAATATGATATGGTTGTTAGACTGTGGCAATTTTTTGTGCTGTCAACATGCTTTTGTTTGTATAGGCCTATTGTATGCGCAACATCTGTATATTTATAACCACCTCAGAGGAATTTAGGGGTCGTGAGTCACTGGCATTGCTATTTTGGGGGTTCCGTGGCTGAAAAGTTTGGGAACTCCTCCAGTATTCTATAGAAAAATCCTCAATACAGCTTTTAGTTTATCAGCATGTTCATCTTTCAGGAGCTTCACTGAAAAAAAACATATTTCTGCAAGAAATTTAGTAATGTTCAACTTAATTTGTGTTTAAATTCAGCCCAGAAAAATTATGTACAGCCACTTATTGTAAAAAAATAAATAAATAAATAAAAAAGTAAATCGAAGGAATCCTCTTTGAATGTTTTTTCAGTAATAGTATACTTCAAAACAAATGATTGGTTGGTGCTAATTATGTTTATGTTATATGTGTTTTAGCAGACATGTACATATCATATAAAATAAACAAAATTTGTTAATTAAAATCCTGTAAACATGAATAATTTTGAGTTAAGAAATAAAACTGCATGAACCAATCCAATATCAATAAAAAAATAAATAAATAAAATTCCTGGTTTCCCTCTGTTCGGATTCATCACTTAGGCCTATAGCTATCAGGCCATTTCTCGGAAACCTCGTGCTTTCTCAGTTGCTACAGAAACACTGCCTCTTGATGTTGCCTAGTAACCTTACATAAGTGGAGCAAAAGTAAATTCACAATGTGGACAAAACTTGCATGCAATTTGTATTCTAAGGGGCAATTGTAATGATTGTATTTACTTTGAACAAGATGGTGTAAGATCTGGAGATTTTTTGTTTAATTTTTTATATTTGACATTTGGTATTGCATTATTATTCATTAAAATGATCAGTCATCTCATATCTGTCAGGTTAAGGTATGTGTGGGCAGCTGAGGACTGTATTTAGTAATATAAACGAATTAAATAAAGGCAGCTTTAATAAGTAAATAGGCTGTTTTTAATGAATGCACTAGTTAGCAAATATTGAACCGGTTGAACAGTGACATCTAGTGGATTTGAAGTGTTGTCTGCATTTTTATATATTTTAAATATTTTAAATCACAAGTTGTGGCTGGAAAGCTTCCGCCGCATAAAAAAATAAAAAATAAAAAAACACATGCTAGAGTAATAGGTGGTTCTTTCCGCTGTGGCAACCCCTGAAATATCAACACAAGAACACAGAATGACAGTAATAATGAGTGAAAAGGTGAAAAATAAAGTAAACAATAACATTCTGAGGAAATATTATGCCTGCAGTTGTTTAATGTGCGGTAGTTCATTCCGCTGTGGCGATCTCTGAAATAGAGACTAAGCCGAATGAAAAGGAATGATTGTTTTGGTGCATACCCAGATAGCATACAAATGTGAACACAGAAGTTCTAGTAAATCAAAACTGTGTCAGTCCAGTTTTCAGAGTTGACGTTCAGTTTAATTCAGTTAAGTTTATTTTAAATTTCACAGCTGAAAGTTCAAACACTGAAAAGCAAATGTTTAGTCCCAAACCAAGCAAGCCAGTGGCAACAGTGGCGAGGAACAAAACGTCACCAATTAACGAAAGTGAAGGAAAAAACCTTGAGGGAAACCAGGCTCAGTTGGGCATGATCATTTCTCCTCTGGCCAAACTTCTTATGCAGAGCTGCAGTCTAGGTGCCGGATGCTGGAGAACACTGAACGTCCATAGTGGAGAAGCTGCAGGGATGAATAGGTCACCGGCTGGTTTTCAGGCTGGTCCACAGGATCTTTTAGGATCTTTCAAAAGACCCACTGGGTCTTTCAGGAGTCAGTCTCATGCTCTCTGCTCCTCCATGACTCTACAGCATCTGCTCAGGATTCGGCCTGGTCCAGGATTATGGATACATTGGCATCATTTCGTTACAGGACTTGGATCGCATTAATGGCACTGCATAATCTCTAGAGGCCTTAGGATGAGTATCCCCTGGTGGAAATAGAGAATAAAGAAAATAATTAGCGTAGCTGCTGTTCATAATGTATTTAAACGTGATGCAAAAATGAAGTGTTATAAATGTAGTTATATAAACATAGAAACAGACATGTAAAGACAATAGAAACAGACATTCCTAACAAAATGTGATGCACTGTGCTTTTATATTTATTTTAAGTATGCTTTACTAAAAAGATAGGTCTTCAATCTAGTTTTGAACTGAGAGAGTGTGTCTGAGCCTCGGACATTATCGGGAAGGCTATTGCAGAGTTTAGGACCCAAAAATGAGAAGGCTCGACCTCCTTTAGTAGACTTTGCTATTAGGGTACTACCAGAAGCCCTGTGTTTTGACATCTTAAAGAGTGGTTGGATTGTGGTTGGCTAGACAAACAGGAGCTAGATTATTTAAGGCTTTATATGTAAGAAGCAATATTTTATAATCTATATGGAACTTAACAGCCAGCCAGTGTTTGGAAGATAAAATTAGGGGGATATGATCATATTTTAGGTAATGCAATTAAAAGTGCAGAGTCTTTTTTCCTAGAAGACAGAGTTCTCAAACTGTTAAAAATCAGAATGGAAAAGGAAAAACTCAAGGCAGATTTCATCAGTCTTACTGAAGCTTTCATTTATTTAGACCAGAAGCTGTCAGCAGAAAATATTATTGCAAAGGCAATTAGTAATAGTT